AAAACTTTATTGATAAAAAAAAGATATGTCCAAATTATGTTTTTTTAAGCTGACGACACCTTAGCATTACTATGCATACTTATGTTTATGTGTAAGCAGGTGTCATATGCTAAAAATGGTACATGGCAAGAATGTTGAGGAATAGGGGGTAATTTTGTATGGGGGTCACGCATTCCGTCGACTAGCGAGCGTGGCGCCACCGCGGGGTGGAGTTCACCCCCGGGTTCACCTAAATGTCAGGAGGGGTGCGTCACCCCCTGCCGCCCACCCCCGAGAGGAGTAGGGGGTGGGTAAGGGTTGGGTGTGGGCACGTCGCAGTGACTCACCCCCCCCCCCCTCCCCTCCCTGGACCACCATACTACTACTGTCCGAAGATGTATACTGCAGTAGGCCCAGACTGCGGGACGCCCCCTGAGGAGAAGGGGATCGAATGCGAAACCATACTTGGCGGGGAGGGCATACTGCGGGAGCTGGAGCTGGTCCAAAAAGAGCCATGCATGTCAAATATGAGCTGAGCTGTTGACAGGTGGAGAATTACTCACTGAAAAATCTGTAATAATTGAACGAACACATTCACTATTGGCATAACGCTATCGTACAAAACATTGTGCCAGGTGGCTAATTGAACCCGAGCATTTCTGTAGTTATGCCGTGCCTACTCGTTCGTAGGGCACCATGATCAGTGGCGACAAGGCAAGCCCAGGCACACGCCTTCGTGCGGTACAGTATAACTACAGAAGTGCGCGGGGGAAATCAGCCACCTAGAAATTTACACCGGAATTAAACGGGTCTCGGAAAAAGGAAAAGGGGGCTAGCGGAAGAGCCATATGAATAAACCAAGAGAAAGACAGAGTGACAGCCGGCCGAAGAGCGACGGTTGGAAATCGATCTCTGCGTGAGAGTGCGCTGAGAACGAGAGGGGATTAGGGCGAGGCGGGTTGTTGGGGGGATACTGGGGGCTTGGGACCAGTCAGGGAAATCCCCCAACACGGCGCGATGGCGTTGCTTATTTGAAATACAAAATGAATTCGCCCTCGTGGTAAAGAATAACCACGCAACGTTGTCGTTCGCGACGTAGGGCAGGGTAGGCGCGGGACGCCGTGCGAGTATGCAGCCCACCGTACACGGGTGCGCGCTGGGTGGCCTATGGCCTAACGTGCAGGCGGCCACTCTGCGAGACCAGGTTGCAAAGTGTGCTGTATAGTGAGTGGACGCTCTACAGCACCAGTACCACCTATGTAGGCATCTCTGAAAGCGCTCCAGTGTTCCGGTATTGCATACTCGCTGGAGCTGCAAGCAGGGGCCATGGCGCCATGGCGCCTTACGGAAGGTGGAAGTAGAGAACTCGCAAAACTGGAGTGCATTCATGATGCACCCGATACAGACTTGAAAATAAGTTTTAGCGCCTTTTAAAATGATAAAAATTCAAAAGAAGAGTCGCATCGGAGAGAGCCCCGTTCTGTTCGCCGTACGGCGCACCCCATTACTGTGCTATGATCAGCGCACCCGCCCCGCCCGCGCCTAACACTGGCTGACTGCGGGCGATGGGCGAGGCAAACGCTTTCAATGCGCGGTACTTTCTACCAGGGATCCGGGGACTTTCCCCAGGGCGGAGGGACACGAGGTCCCCGTCGTGGCCCCGAGAGGGTAGCTCAAGACGACTCCGACGGTCGGCCCGATCCGAGAGGATAATATACTCAGGCTGAGCGTGACGGGTCGTCAGCGAGAGCTAACCTTTGACCGCCGAATTCTCGGCGATAGCCGAGTGCGGCGGCGAGGCGAGCGTCTGCAGCGGAAGCGTGCGGCATTGCTCAGTGCCGGCGGCAGCGACGGCTTCCAGGAGGCGTTCTCAGTGGCGTTCCAGGGGCGTACCGATCGCACAGGGGGCCCCCTGTAGCTGTCGGCCGGCGTGCGTCTCGTGGGGCGCACCGAACAGTGTCGCCATCGCAGCGGAGCCCCCTGGAACTGCTGCCACCGCGCGCGGGGGACTTTGAAATCCCGGCGGTGGCGGCGGCGGGGAGGGCCAGCGAGCCGCAGAGGCCGGTGGTTCCCCCTCCCCGCCTCCTCCCTCCTCCTCCCCTCTCCACGCCGGCCGGCGTTGAGTTCCCTCTGACTCCGTCTCTGTCCCGCCTCGACCTGTCTCTCTCGCGCGAGCCGAGTCCGTCTCCAACGTGCCGAAATAGCTCAGTTGGGAGAGCGTTAGACTGAAGATCTAAATGTCCCCGGTTCGATCCCGGGTTTCGGCAGTCACTTTTTGTTGTTGCATACTGCGCAGCAAAGTGTTGGGGTGTCGCGTAGGGTATGGTTTTGAGAGGCCCTGTTATCAATACACCAATAGCACACCGATTTTTATTATTTTTTCGGACTTTTCCTGATTATTCCACTATTTTTCCGTGATATCTTCTATTTTTTTTTCCTACTTTTCCTGATTTTTTTTTTTTTTTGG